TTAAAACCTTTAAAAGACGAAACGACACGAGGCCACGGGTCAAATAATACATAAAGGGTTCTCTTACATATATATATATACACATACATACACATAAATAAATAAATAAATAAACAAAAAAAAATATATATATATATATATATATACAGAGAGAGAGAGAGTTTCATGCATGCGCACAACTGTTACACCGTAACCGCCGGTAAGGCCGCTGTGGCTTCGGCCAGACATTCAGCTATGCAGTCCTCTGGCTGTCTCGTGTATCGTCATCTCTGATGCAAGCAACTGACTGGACACTTTGACAACCCAGACAGGGCCCGCAGTAGAATAATACAGGGGCCTGAACGCTTATCACCACTACTTGGGGGTTCCTTATAACTTCAACTATAGTATAATAGACCCCCCAACACCCTATTCTAATTATTAAGGCCCCTAAAAAACCCCTAAGGCCAAAGCCTACAACAGAGTCTAAACCCCTCAGCCCAGCCAGCAAACCTCAAACGCCCCAGCATTTAAACTGCTTCCAGAGCCCCAAGAAATGCAACTAGGATGTCTTGTTGGGGGGGCTTGGGGTTTAGGTTTTGAACACCCAACTGCACACACCCTGTGGGGCGGCCGTAAAATAATCCGTGTAGGGTGTTGGGACATATTGTGGTAACTGTAAGGCAACCATGAAGGCATACTGTTTACTATTTACGATGACCGCTTATTCCGACTCCTACATTTTAACCATTACAAAATCCATCTTTAAGCCCTTGCAGGAAGCCTTATCAAGGCATGTTTGTCAGAACATCAGAGGGCACACTGTAAATGACACCTCTGCACGCTCGAGTCCAAAGACCACACAACCACACGCGCCCCCCCCCCCCACACACAAACATTATCCTAAACCCAAGTATCTAATTGTTGAACCCTTTGGAATCCGATAATTGCAAAAACCCACAGAGTCCCCTTGTAAGCACCGAATCTATTCAGACCCTTTCTATTAACTTGGGCTCGCTTCGATGCCGTCCTCGAAACGTTTCTCCAGCAGTGCCGTGTAACGAGGAAGAGTCTGCAAACGGTTTAGGGTTTAGGGTTTAGGGGTTCCTTCAAGGGTTCCGTCAAGGGGTCTTGCGAGGGTTTAGGAGTTCAGTGCTTAGGGCTTCGTTTGAGGATTAGGATTTTTGCCGCGGCTTGTGTCGAATTTGCAAGGTTTTGATCCTAGGGTTCCAGCCAAACCGTTCCCAAGGGCAGCTCAAAAGTCCCGACTACTTTGTGTATGCAGATCTGCATTGACACCCTGAGGAGGGTTTTGTGGCGATTTAGAAACTTGGGAATGTACAAGCCAAGGCAAACGGAATCAAACGTCGTAACAAAAAAAAACGCAATTCTGTGAGTAACATCTTCTACCACCACAAGCAACTACATCGAGTCATTTTACGTTGGGGCGAGTTCCTGGAATAACGATAATCTGTTGATAGCTTTGGGCTTGTGCAGATGACCAGAATCACATGTACTTCCATGACCTTTGATGGCGCCGTCCGGGCCTTCACACGGCTTCAGCACCCAATCTGATCTTGGTCTGCCTGCTGTTCTGGCACCATCTCGCGCCAGGGGCTTTTGCCGGCGGTTATGAGAATGGGGCGGCACATTGCTTCCTTGCACCCTTTCCGCCCCCTTCTGGTCTAAGAGTGACACCGCGCCGCCAAAATTGTCTGACTGTTCGTTGTCTGCCCGTCGCGGGCATGGCCCACGGAGCACTGTGTTTCGGACAGCAAAGGGTTCGTCGATGGTAGCTTGAGGGCCAATTTATAAACTAGGCGGGTACATGGAGCCTCAAGGTAGCTACCGTTTGCTGCCATATATACGAACGTACCACTACCTACCATCATCACCACCACCACCACGACCCGGACGACTTCCACGACTGCAACTACTCCTTCTCCTCCTCCTCCTACGACTACTACGACGACGACTACTACCTAAACCCAGGGCTCCTGCCTGTCCGGTACTCGGTATGGCCTTTCGGAGCTGCGAATACTCGAAGCCCCGAATCTACATGATAGGGTATATTGTAATATAACTAATGCAAGACCATAAAGTAGAGCAAATTCTGTTATAACCTGTAATCTTATATATTTTATGTAACATGTTAAAGTGGAACACACTCCATGACAAGGCGTAATAAGATTGAAAATGGTCTGTAGACCAAGCTTACCGTACCAGGGCCCTTTCTGCATATGCCAGGTCTGTCAAAGAAGCTCTAAAGTCCAGTACAAACATCCGGTAAGCAAACATCGAGAGGGGGAGAAACCCTAAAACCTAAACCCTAAAACCTAAACGAGACTTGCAAACCCTAATCTTATACATGGCAAATACACAGATCCAGCCTCATTCAAACAAGAACTCCTCGCCCTACGTAAGCCAACCCTACGCCTACGCCCTTCACTGCGCAAAGCCTACGCACCCCAAACCGGCCCGCTATGTACAAAGCATCGCGATTTTAGCAAGACTGCCCAAAACAAACAAACACACCCACACAAACCAAACAAACCAATCCAAACATCAAAACACAACAAATAAAGATAACAACCATAAACAGATATACTAAACCATAAAGCCTAAAGCCCTTGACCCTTAAACCCTCAAGCCTAAATCTCTAAACCGAAAACTCTAAACCCAAAGCCCCTAGCCCCTAAACCCGAAAAAACCCTAAGGAAAGAGAGCGCCTGCCTCTGGCACCAGGGACTCGGAGAGCCCGGTGGCTTCAAACCTCAGGCGCTGGAGGTCCCCGCGCAGCTCCTCACGCGCGAGCGCGCGCAGCAGGGAAGGTAGGGTTCAGGGGCTTAGGGGTTTAGGGGTTTAGGGTTTAGGGTTCAGGGGCTTCGGGGTTTAGGGTTTAGGGGTTTAGGGGCTTAGGGGTTTGGGGTTTAGGGGTCTGTAGGGTTTAGAGTTTGGGGTTAGGGTCAGATTCCCTAACTTGCCCATTTATCGTACTAAAGGGTCCTTTGTGGGAACCCCCTGAAAGGATCTACTGAGGGCAACACAGGGATATAGGGATCTGGGGGGTGTAAGGGGTCTTATGAAAACCTCTTACTTGGGGGTAATTAGGGTTTCAAGACTGAGGTAACAGGTAACAAAGCGGGATCGGGCTCGAGGGCTGTGTGGTTCAAGCTGCAAAGGACTCTATACTATACGGGTTTTACAAGGATCTTACGAGAATTTAGGGCCTTGGGCTTTCAGGAGGGAGTTAGGAGTTTGTGGGGGCTTCTGAAAGGGTTGTACAAGGCTCTTGTATAACGCCTATAAACCGCTGATGCCTCCGGGAAATCGATGCAGTACCCCTCAAACACCTGCATAGTCGTCGATTTCAATCGTGGCATTGACGCCAAGGAATTACAAGAAACGGGAACGTCGTCAACATGTGCTGACCTGGATCAGGGAGCCAGTCCGGCTAATTACTTCGATTCTTCCAGAACGAGCATGTTGAGCGCAAGCCTAAACCCTAAGCCGCAAACCCTAAACCCTGAACCACACAGTCGGATGCCAGCAATGCAGGGGCTGAAGCTTGATCGACTGTCACGGCGCAGGGAGTGCAGCTGCACTGGCGGCTTTGAAAAAATACGTAAGTAAAGGATAAACTCAATCAGCAACATGTATATATATATATACATACATATATGTGCATATACACATATATATATATATACATATAAATATAGCCTTCTTCGAACCCTACACAGAGACTATAGGCCCTACACCCTGAAAAACCCTAAGCCCCAAACCTGAGACTTGGAAACTTGGCGTCCTGTGCACGACCGGCCAGCGGCTGTGCCACAACCATGTCCCCTCGGGCAGTACGGTTAAGGCTAGAACTCCTGCAGTAGCCATTATAAGGAATATACCATAACTCCCGTAGTTTAGCGTCCTTAAAGCAGTGCAGGATTTATATCATCAACCTTAGTTCGGCTTCCTGGTTAGTTCGGGTAGCTTGCCCCGCTTCGTTGGTTCAGGGATATTCTGCTCTCTTCCACCGGAATGGGATCTAGCCAATAAGCAGTGGACCTGAATGACTATAGAATACGACCTTTGGAGTATACATACGTACGTACATACATACAAAAATACATACTTACATGCATACATACATACATACAGACATACATACATGCATACACACACATACATACATACATGCATACATACATACATACATACATAAATACATGCATGCATACACGTATATCTATATAGTTGTATCTACAGGTCCACATACGCATGCTTACATGGAGGCAGA